AGCAAGCAGTAGGCAACGTATCACAATTTGGACACCGCAGGGAAACCTAACGGCCTGGTAATACAGGTAAAACTGGAAACTTAAAAAACCCACAAAAATAAAAATACACATCTGATAGCGTATTGCCCAATTGAAATCATTTCCAAGCCACAGAGCTGCAAAGCCTTCCGACTCGGCAGAGTGAAATGAGTCACGTCTCCAACAGTTACTTGCTCTCTCTCATGCTTGTGTGTTGCACATCTCATTTAGCCATAGTGTATCTTCAGAGTACACCCACAATCCCGTGCACCTCAGGTACGTGTACCCATCTGCTGAGAGAATCATTCCTTCTTTCCTTTTTAGGGCCAAAGTTCATTACAGATGTAATCAGTGTGCCTGAGGCTGGTAAAAATACTGTAGTACAGGCAATGCTAAGAGTGGCAATATCAGAAAACACAAAAATGAACAAATGATGGAAAATTCTAATATCTTTCTGCCCATTTCACAAAATGTTGGAAATCCACCAGAATTTTTCCCTTGTATTGAAGAAAACAGATTTAAAAGTTTTTTCCCCCTTTCAGAATCAAAAGCATTTTAGTAGATTTGTAAGGCTACCACGGATCTTCTAGATCTCCAGCACCCTACAGGAAAAGAAGAGGAGAAATATTACTACTCACCAAGACAAATGAAAACATTTTGTTGCACTTTGGATTTCAGTGGCATAATGAAGGAGAATAGTGTAAGACAGATGACATTTTCCTTTTTTTTTCCATACCTGCCCACTTCCACACACAAACATTCTCTGCTCTTCAACTTCATGAGGGAATTTACTTTTAGAAAACATGAATGCAGTAAAGTTATTATGGCAGAAAGACTTAAACACAAGTATCATCTGAAACTGTTCTAAATCATAGCTATCAACAGATACTACATCTATGGACTACATGAAAAAAATAGATCTATAAAATACTAAGGAACTCAGCTCTTCAGGCATTCCTGGTCCACAAGAAATTCCCAGAGGCTCTTTTTCATTATGGCAATGAAATCTGTACCTATTTTGGAGAACGATATTTTTGTGCAAGTGTTACATTATGAACTCACCACTGACCCAAGAATTCCGGATTTGGTTTATTAGCAGATTATTTACCACCAAAGTAAACTCCCAGCATTATCACTGATCTATTCAAATATATGGTCTGTGTACACATATGTGCTGCGCATTGAAAGACACAGAAAAGATTTGGCAGAGGGGCAAACCTGGGTAGAAGAGCCAGTTTATTCGTTTATATGGATGATGTTTAACTTGAACCTGAGAAATGCTGCCCAAATACAGGAATATGACGAATGTGCCAAACCCAAAATTACTCAAATATTTGTAGAAGCTACCGAACATCAGGAGCTAATATTCGAAGCTATGAAAAGTTCCACATCAGGTCATAACAATCACATTTCAAAGGAAGTTTATTACTTGCTTAAAAGAGTCAATATGCATACAGATTATTCCACAGCATATTCTTTATTTTCAGTTGAACACAAATTCTTAGAACTTGGCACTAGGCACTAAATCTAAGTACATTTGCATTTCTGGATATATGGTATGCTACAACTTGGGAGGTAATAATACATTCGGTCTGGAAAAATTGCTATTTATAATCAACAGTGGATACAATCTAAATTGAAAAAAAAATCAAACACATTTAATGAAGAGTAAGTGACAACCTAAAACTTAACAGCTTTTGTAATTTAGCTGTATTATAAACTATACACAATTCAAATACAAACATGCAGTATATGATACTGGGGAAAAAAAACCACCCTGACGAAATCGTATAATTCAATTATTTGCACAAAAGATACAATTAAGATGTGAATGACTTTACATTTTGCTAACATATACCATCAAAACTAGTATGTAAAAATGTAATTAGAAGAAAAAGTGTTAAAATTTATTTTTGCATGAGAATGGTAGATTCCTGTTGCTGGTGTCACAGGATTAAAAAAAATTCATCAGAACCTCAGATGGGAACTTAGCTGCTTGCTACACAACGTAAGATGCAATTGCTATAATATACCATAGTGGGTAAACTTCTAAGGAAAAAAAGAGCTTAGTATGAACAATCTATACAAATAACTAAAGTAAAACCAAACAGACTTCTAGGATAGATGTGACAAATGTTGAGACATAAACAAAGGAAGATAGGCCAAGTGAAGCGAAGCGTTAAATCCACTACGTAAAACGTTATGTCTGTTTGTCACTCAGCTCATTCATCCCTGAATCTTCGCTTGAGCTCTGTATTTCAGCAAGGAGATTCCCAGATTCTGTGTGAGTGTCTGGTACGGAGTCACTGGGTCCAGCATGAGTATCTGAAGTAGATGCTGCAGCTGATTCAGCAGTGCACTCTTCTCCCTGCATTTTAGCTAGCCTGTAACTAGTCAGCATCTCTTCCAGGAGGTGGCGGTAGTTCCCCCTATGATTAATTCTCATTTGCCTGAGTGCTTCCACCAATTTTCCCTGCGTTCCACTTTCCTCGGCTTCGCCAGGGTCCTTTTTTTAAGATTCAAGACCCCAGAAAAATCAGCAGTTAAACTAGAATATTTTCTAACGACATTAAAAACAAAACAAAACCCGAGCAAAACAAAAACCACCCCAAACCCCACCAACCCCACCAAAAAACCCCACCCAAACCCGCAACTTTTCCAATTGAGAAAACATCAGCTTTGCTCACTTCGAATACAAACCACCTTATTGGCAACATACACCTCAGATGTCTCTCTTATACAACACAAGAGCTTAAGAAATGATATCCACTAACCCAGCATTTTTAATAACTCCAATTTATTTTGAGCCAGACAGTGTCGAGGCGGTAGCTCCTCCCAGTTAACTACATCTTGATTCAAATTGTCTTTTGATGAACCTAGCTCACATTCCCCACAACTCTGGTCAGTTGTCAGTGAAAAATTTGTCAAGGTAAGCTTCTTTAGCCATCAGGTCAATACATTTAATGGTGAATTTCTGCACAGCCAATAGCAACACAGTCCTGTGAAAAGCTTACTGAAGAGAGGAGGTAACTCTACTGCTAGCAGTTTAGTTGAAGCATCACATCAAAACAAGTGCTCACGAAAGTTTTAGGAAACAATCCCCGATTTCTGCATGCATGATTGCTGCCACAAAAGAAACAAGCAGCTATCAGCACCAGGAGTGGCGGTGTTTGAATACAAGGCACTACTTTTGGCAGTTATCGTTTATAAAAGTTAACAGAACAGTTACATAAAGTCAAACCTAATAACCTACAGCACCGAATCCGAGTAACAGCACTGATTAAGGAATGGGGGTCTCCTCTGCAAGCCACCTATTTGGCTACAAGCCTTCAACTGAAAAAAACTGGCAATAGATGTGCACATCTATTACAGGGCTGTGACACTGATACTAGGTATTTTAACTTCCAAGGGCTAAAGTGGTATCGTTGCTTAGAGGGAATAATACATTTTAAGTTATTAATACCTAGCAAGTTATCAAGCTAGACAAATGGACCTGTATCACTGGAAGCTGGCACATTCTGCAATACATTAGAGGCAAAATCCAGACTGCCTTATTTTCATGCTGACCTTATTTTATTGTCTTCTAGACCAAAAGCTTCATGAACTACAAGTATTGCAGCCACTCACTTACAAGCTTAGCTGCAGTATTAAGACAATCTCTTGGGTTCAATAAGATTTTGGATGCTCTAATGTTGTTGGAATCGAAGCCCCGAGATTCATTAACACAGTCTCAGTTAAAAAATGGACAATTTAACCACAAAAATGAGTGTTACTGCATATAATGCTATCCTTCTAAGTTTATACTTGTTTCAACTGTTGTTTGCAGGTCTTAGAGATGTTTGACTCCCATGTACTAGCATCTTCACGTTCAGAGAGCTCTCCAAGAGCCCAGTGAGGAGAAGCAAGTTAAAGGAGTTAGTTTTAATATATGAAGCGGGACTGTTTCAATGTCCCACGAGCACAAACCTCAGTGAAAACTCAGGGCATAAAGATTAATCTACAGATGTATCCCACATCTTAGGTTTTGACAAAAGGATACTATTTATGCATTTATCTAGCTAATATCAAACAAGGCAGTGGAGCTGGAGTTCCAGTTTTTTTAAAGTTCAGAGAACATCTAAAGTCTATAGTTGCTCCATCCCATCAGTTTTGCTCCAAGACTGGCATTAGCAAACATACACTCTAAATCCCCGTATTTCACAAGATTCACAGCTTTAAAAATTCTGCTGGCAGACTGAAGTGAAAACTTTTGCTCCCTTACAACACTGAAGCGTAAAAGCAGAAAGCAATGTAATAGCAGCCCTGAGACTCCTAAACAATACAAGTGGTAGTAGGAGTGCATGCTATCTTGTGCTTCCCTCATCTTAGCAGATTCCCTCATTGTCTCAGCAGACAAAAAAAAAACCCACAGGCAACAGTGAGACAGAAACTGCCTCTCTGATATACTATACATTATCAATACACTATAACACGGTTCTCTCTCTAATGATGCGTGGCCAGAACAGGTCCCTGAAAAGTATGATTTCTGTGCAAGTTACTATTTGTCTTCTTTTATGTGCTAATTCATCTTAGTGCTGCTGACCACAAAACCAAGAATAAATTTGTGCTAGCTATATTTGACAAGAGCATTCACAACTTGTACACAAGTTCTGCTCTGTTAAATTATGTATATACTAAAACGGGCTACTATGTATTAGGGACAGGATTTACAATATTTGAAGATGCAAGAATTTTGTCCAGTAATATTATCTGTAGCAGCCCTTAATGACATGTGATTTGATTTATCAAAGTGTACAGTATTAGTAAAGGCAAGGGATAAACATGACTGGTTTCAAACAAGATGCTCAAACACAGCTTTAAGCAAATGCCACTGAAACTATTAACACAGCCACTGAAATTCTGACATTATTCCTTGTACCTAACTGGATAGTAATGTCTTAGTTTTAGGAATATATATATATATATATATATATATATATAAATTCAATTTAAATAAGGTCAAAGTAGAGCCAATAGAGAAAGAGTAATATTTAAATAAGTTAACTAGAGCAAAGACTCAGTGGTATCAGAGTGGCAACAACTGTTTAGCTATTTAGAAGTTCTTTTATATTTCCTTTTAAGATCTGAAAACACCAAGCCCCAACACGTAACAGGTATCTAGGATTTCACTTGCACTTGTAAAAGCAACAGGCACCACATTTATAGCAGAAGTCTCTGCTCAAACACTGCTCTTTGTGAGCCCAATGCAGGGCACTCTCCAGCCCTGGATTTACAAAATACTTTTAACTCTGCTGAGATGCCTAAAAGAAAACATGAATGCTGTACCCTGAAGCCACACTAATGATCTCTGCTTACTGCTGTGGTCAGGATTCTTTCACTTCCCAGTGTCTCACTTTACACTTTATCTCAAGGATTTAAGCTTTATCTCAAGGATTCTCAAGAAAATGTGCATGTGAAGAACTGGAAGAAGTTACCACTCACAATCACTGTCTTGGATGACAAAGAAAACTCTAAGCAAAACACTAGAATCTTTACAGTGCTGAGAAAAAAGCAAAGCTAATCTAGAATATACTACCTTGGTTTTAATTTATATACTAAGAACTTACTTTGTAAAGCTATTATGATCCAGTTCACAGTAATTCACGGTAAGTAGTTTAATTGTTCAATGCTAAAAAGTATACTCTTTAGAAGGAAGATATTCTCAGCTGCAAAAGTCAATGTGGTTGGTTTGGGTTTTGGTTTTATGGGTTTTAGTGGTGTTTTAAAAACTTTTTACTCACAGAAATACTTCAGCAATTAATTACATGATGATTTTGTCAAAGTAAAAATAAATGGTTCTAGCCTTTATAAAATCATCAGGTGAAGATGAGTGTCACAGGCAGACTTTACAGTTAGTAGCAGCAGCATTCTACAGGAGAATAATGGGTAACTACACATAGGGAAGGATTCTTCAGCGCAAGCCTGCACCTTTATGCTCTGCAGACTCAGCATCTGTGTCTGTAGCTCCTAATTTTCTGCATGAAGCCCCGCTCTTGCTTCGTACTAGTTTAGACATGGGCATTACTAGTTAAGATTTTGGTCTCAGTTGGAAATGTCATTATTAGCACGTCCTTGTATGTTTCCTTCTTACCTTTGCTTACTGTTTAAATGTGAGATGCGTAGCAACATTATCACAGTGTGTAGATACTGTGGGGAGTCTGACGTTGAGTAACTGAACAGATTCCTTCCCTTTCACCCCTCCACCCTGCGCACTAGAGTATTCAGTTCAAAAGACTAAGAGATCATGACATATACATTTGGAACTGAGTAAGACTAGCAAGGAAGTCATGCTTTCATCACCTCAGAGATGAGGCCCACTAAAGTCATCCATTTCAAGGACAGTAAGACAGCAATTCCAACTTGTTGGAAAAGTGCAAAAAGGAACTGCATCCTTCACCCACTCTCAAGACAACTATCCAGGGATTCTAATGGCAATAAAGGTCAAAGCTATTAATGGTAATAAGGGTTAAAGATATATTCCTTTATGAGTAACTTGCATATTTAGTTCAGTTACTTCATTTTATTAAATTATAACCGATGATGTACAAAAATTTCATGGAAGTAGCCAATACACAAAAAGGATGCTGTACTGGATGTTAGGACTTTTAGCAAGCTTGCATGGCTATTGAAAAGTAAATCTGGACTTAGAAAAGTTGCATCATAAATGCAACTATGGCATATGACAGTTCTAGAAAGTTACCTTCAGACAAACCTGTTTTATCTTAAAAGCAAGCGAACAACAAGAGCTTATAAAACCTATGCCATAATCATCAAATGAGCCACTTTCACCAATAACTTGACCCCATGAACAGAAACAAAGCTATGGGTAAATATGGAAAGTAGTAACAGGCTGACAGAGGTGCAGAGTTTCCTGAAGGACTAAAGAAGCTGAAAAGAGGAAAATTTTGTCTAGCTTGTCTGGGGGTACTGCTGGACAATTTGTTGAAAGTTAAATGAGAAATGTAAACTCTATCACTTTCAAACTAAAACCCAAAACAAACACCCCCCCAAAAAAAACCCCCAGCAACAACAAAAACAACCCACCAAACAAACCCCCACCCCAAAATAAAAATGTTAGAAATGTCTTCTCTATTTGTAGTTTAACAGAAGAGTGTCCCCCCCATGTATACAAGCTTTCTAACTGAACAGAATAAACCAAACACAAGTAGGCAACAGAAGATGACTGTGAGAAAAACACAACTGTGGTGAGACTGCAGAGTCACAATCTCAAGGCACACAACTGATCATTTCAAAGTATTTAAAATACAAGTTGACATCGCCCCATTCATTGCAATGACTGCCTGACTGAGGACCTTGTAGCCATCTCACAAGATGAAAAAATGACAAAGGATTTACTAGAAATCAAATGGATATCCTCACATTAATTTACATAAACCATACAGGAAATGGAACATATGCACAAGCAGTGGTGGTTTTTATCAGCTCTTCAGTTTTCCAATGATTATTTTCTTCAAATTAACCACAACTAATACGAACACCAATTATTAATCTTTATGCTAATATTAATAACCACCTAATAATCAGGATTAAAATTAAACTGTATTTCAACATGCTATTTAACATCCAGACTACTGGGAACTGGGCAGAAGAATATAAGCCATTTTAGAAATCAGAACTGAAGTAAACTAAAAGCCCTTTATGCTTTTCTCAGGCCACTGCACATGGGATATTTAAAGATAGTGTAAACTCTACAGGAGTAGTCAATATTAGTCTTTTATTTTCAGTGTACCAAAGTCTTCCACATTTACAGAAGACAACAGGAAGTGTGTCTGCCCCTTCTTCTAATAGATTTCTAGACAGCAGGCATAATAGCTAGTTAAATAATGAATATGCTGACCATAATTTTTTTTACAATAGAAAAACCTGTAATTTAGAAACCCCCTGCATTGTTGCCTCACAGGTTGGGCTGAAAAAGCACCAATGTTTTAAAAGTCTTTTAGAATTGGGTGTCAGTTCACTGTCTTTTTGAGGATGAAGTCTGTACCAGATCCATCCAAAACAAGGTCAAAATGAACTGTATGCTAAAATACATATTTTCTGTTTATAATCCTTTATTGGCAGTGATGTACACTGCTGCTTAATGCATGAAACTACTTTGGTGTTCTCATGACCGAAACGGTGTAGCAATCAAAACGGGAACTTACCCCCTCATTCTCTCTGTGTGGATTCAGCCTACTATACACAGCTTCAATAATATTACGCCTAAAAAGAGAAGTTCAAAAAATTAAGCACAAGAAAGGATTTCAAAATATTAAGAATTTAAAAAGTTTGAGCACAGTAACAACTGCAAAGTGTTTAAGACGTTTCGCCTTTAACCTGCCTCTTATTAAGATGAAGCCTGCTCTTAGTGCCTTTACTCACTTTTAATATGATGTGTGGGGACTTAGCAGTAAGTTAGGATTTGTGAAGACTAAGCAAGGCAAAACATTTTCTTACTCTCCCCTCCCCATGGTCTACCATCTACCTCTTTACATCTTCAGAAGCTCCAGCATAGTCAAATTTTGCCAAGAGTAACCCTTAAATGTGTATTTTACTTGAAATAAAATTATTCATACTTCATGTTTTTTTCTTCCCTTATTTCTGGATGTGGAACTTGAAGACAGATGGGGTTTTCCCCATTTGTATTACATATCTCTAGGTTACTACTGGCCATGAACTTTTTAAGTGCTGTGTTCAGAGTATACAACGTCTGAGATGCATTGTCCAGTGTCTATTCATGCTGTAGAAATTAAACCCCAAATGCCATTAGGTAAAAACTGAAAAACAAACCCTGAAGTATAAACAGACTTCTGAGAGGGAAAAAGGTTATGTCTGTACACGATACAATCAAAGTTACTGGCACCTTCAAGAAAAAAAGAACTGCTAAGTGAACTAGGGTTCTCAAGTCTGGAGGTGGCCAAGATCTATACAAACTATGTCTTACAGAATGTGGATAAACACTGTTGACTCTTCCAAAGACCACAAGGGCATCAGATTAAGACAGTAGCAAGAGTTTCAAAAAGTACAGTGATGGCTCTTGATGCAACAGAACTTTCCACCTCAGAACACCAAGGATGCTAAAAGCTTGCTGAGACTCCTTCTGAACATATTTTAACTTACTGGAAAAGATCAGAAAGCACCTCAGCTGTAAGAAGCTGGAAACTGAGTAACGAAAGGAGAAGTTTTATATCCTTCCCATGGCACCTACTTTCAGCTATCCTGTGGCTAGGACACAGAGCTAAAACAATCCTTGGTCTGATCTGTATGTCTATGTTCTTATGTTTACAGCAAGGAAGCACAAAGCATGTTCAAAACAGAAGAGTTCAGGTTTTGAATGTGATGTTGCAAGTATGTCCACTCTGAGACAAAGCAATAAATCAGGCCATCTCAGTATCTAGTGTCCAGCACCAGAATGTATTTTTCCAGTCATGATCCAACATTTTAAACTGTGTTTATTAAAATATTCAGAACTCTAGGAGATGGTTTATGGAGCAGTGAATGCACGGGACAGTGCATCAGATCTCTCAGGATGGATCTCACATCAGTTCAAGTCAACACTTTAAGAAGAAATCTAGAAGGCATGGCTGAGCTAGTATCAGATCCATTGACACTGGTGGAAGATTTTCCTAGAGAAAAGAAACAATCCTTTTGCAGGTGATACAGAAAAGGGCTCTCTCAGTTTAACTGCACATTTAGTGACAGAGGAATGGCACAATTCTGACCTAATATCTGTACTACGGAGAGCAAAGGCACCTCACACCATTGTACCAGAAAACACCTCCACAGTCCAAGCAAGGCTGCCACAGAAGCAGCAGACAGCCACTGCAAAAGTTCTGAATCAGAGTTAAAACTCAGGCTCTTGGGAATTCTCCTATCTTTTCAATTCACTTTTTCTTTGAACAGTGTATTTCTCCGTACCGTCCTTTGATGGAAAAACTCAGGACCTCCTGTCTCAAAATATGAGGCAGTAAGAACTCTCTCAAAAGAAGCTGCATGCATACCTCCCAAAGTCAGTTTTCTGTAATGCAGAACTTAAGTCAAAATTGAGGGAAAGGCATCAAAAGGCAAATTCTGAACCTAAGCCCATTTAAAACGTAACATGGTCAACAAATGAAAACAGGATTATATATATGGGTTCCAGAATAATGAAGCAGTACATGCTGCAGTTATTAATGAGCTAAACAACAAAACACACCAAGTCATTCAGCAGTTGCGAGGCGCTAAGAAGAACAGAAGAATAACAGGCACACCACAACTTTCCTGAATGCCTGGAGCGCATACACAAGTGAAGAAAAAGGACCAAAACACACAGGAACTTTCAATGCTAGAAAGAAAAATTATCATGGCAAACAGTGCTCATTAATAAGAACACACAATGAAAATGGATGTATACAGAAATGCTCAGGGGACAGGATCTTATGTTTGGAAAAACACAAAGATTCCAAAAGGAACATGACTTATGCCAGGGAGCAAATAATGGGTTCCACTGTTTGGGGAATTCTAGATCAACAGTTGCTTATGCAATCCCAAATTCTGTTCTTTAAAACGCTTAAATGATAGGTTGCTAGAACATTACCACTAGCCTCTCCAGAAAACCAATGTCATTTCTGAATGTTTATTCCAGTTATGTTTTAAAAGGTATATGCTAGTTTAATATTCTTGCTTATCTAACATTCAGTTTAAGACTAAACAAAGAAAAACAGTTTGCGTACAAGAATGTATGCAGAGCAAACAAGCATCAGCCCAAACTTGTAATGGACACTAGGTGGTAAAGGAAACATGACATCACAAAAACTGAGCTGGTATTTCAATATTCTGGTTACATTATTGAGAGTTCTTAACAAATGTAAAGCAGTAAAAAGACAAGAATAAATATTTTTATTTTTTTTAATGGCCATATGGAAATAGTAAATCAGTATGTTATGTACCAGAATATGATAAACCTGTTTCCTCTTACCAGTCTGGAATAGGAATGGTGACGCAAACGTTTATGTAACACAAAAGGTAAACTGGCTTCAAATATGAAGCCCAACTTTTTTCTTTGAGTATACCTGTTACAATAAGAAAAGCTTTAACACATTTAAATGAAAATATTTGTTTCAGTGAACTCAACAATTCAAGCAATTCCAGCAATGTACTCACTTGCCAGCTAAACCACCTCCTGGTGGTAAATTAGGGATATTCTCCGCCGTTAAAATACGAATAACATGAGCAAGATCAGGCATTCCTTCTTCACCCGATTTTTCCATAATTTCTAATTTAAAAACAGAAGAAGTCCTTAGATTACTGCATTAATACCACCCATTCCTAAAGACACTGAAATACAAGATACTATCACTATTTAACAGAGACATTATGAAAGAGTTACATGTAAATAGGAAAACATTCTTTACTTTTTAGGTACACAGACTTTGCATGGTGGAACAGATCTATTCAAATCCATAGCCTGCCTTTCCTGTATGCTTCTAGCCATTCTCTTTCAGAGAATGTCAGAAGCAGACTACGACTTGGATGAAGTAGCAGCTTGTTTTCAGAGGCCGTTTCAATTACCTTCCTGTTGCATTACAATACATACTCAGAAGTTACATGCCATAAAGCCAATGCTTCCCTGGAATTCAGTCCTACTTCACTGAGATTAATACCTTGTATTCGCAAAGGCCTGAATCTTCCATGCATAAACACTAAGATCATCACACATATCAAGTGGCATATATAATGGTCTATTATCGCTCATGTGGTCAAAACAGAATATAGAACTGAGGATGGATAATTAATAATACAGTATTCAAAGCAGAAGCAGCATGAAAATCCAGTGCTAGGAAGTTCATCTGCCTTGGGAAAGAACTGCCTAAACTTAAGTAAATCTTCACATGTTCTTATTCATCAAAGCTGCTGTAAGGCGCACTTACATTAGCTGCACATATATTGACATTGGTATAAGAGTACCAGTCATCAGCCTCTAGTCATTCAACTACTACTACCATAGCAGAAAAAGG